GTTTCAGGTTTGTTGATGTGGGGCGCCCTATCTAACAAGAGGATGGATGTGTCATTTACAACTGCTGCTGGCCCTCGCCAGTGCAGTCATTCTCAGGTCCCAGTCCTGTGGGACTGAAGATTATATTTTACTGTCTCCACCATCAACTACTACTGATGACAACTCACTATATACTCTTTGGTTAGACCAAATAGAAAACGTTGTTTCCAGCAGTTCCTTTATTGTTGCATGTTTATCTGTTGTGGAGGCTTGTTTATCAATGGGTTATGAAGCAATGACTGTCTTTGTCAGTCATTTTGTCATAGTATTATAAATATTACAGTAATACACAATGGAACCTCTCACATGTGTTCTAGTTTGCTCTTCAGGAAGAAGTATGGTGGCATGTACAAAACTGAGCAGTCTTATTTCCTACCTGTGTAAGCACACATAAACAGTGGCGTACACTGACTCTTCTTCAGCTTCTTCTCTGGTGGAGGAAGCTCTAAATCTTGTCCATCCATGTCCTGTACAAACAGATCCTCTGGTAATATACGTTCCTTCTGAACACCAGATGGAGCAATGTATATTTTGCCTCTGCCAAAGGACATACATAACGATTAAAATAAGTATACATATAAACATTCAATTTCTATAAGATCACAATGTGCAACTAATTCTCATGTTACTTCATGATGCTGTATAAAGTCCAGTGGCTCATGCAGACTGCAAGAATGTCAGGAGAAATTTCAGAAGTTAGAAAACTTGTTAACTATAGTGACACCACTATTTATTGTTCCTGAATTCAAGGTTTTGCTTAATTTTGTATTAGATGTAAATTATCCCCAATCAATAATCTCAGTGATAAGCTTCCTTCATTTCAGATATTCCTCAGACTAGTGTTCAAACCAGGGCATGCAGTAGCATAGTTGGTTGAGCCACTATGCTACAAGCCAGAAGGTCGCGGGTTGAAGTCCCAATGAGGTAACTGGATTTTTATTCAATTGACTGAGTTAACCCCAGGGCCATACTATGGCCCTGGGGTTAACTCAGCCTCTAATACAAATGAGTACAAGGAATACTATTGGAATATTCATGGGGGTAAAGGGCGGCCAGTGCATAGGGCTGACAACCTTGATGCCATCTATGAGCTGATTGCCTAAAAAAATGTGGGATCCTCAACATCTCATAACCCAATGGGCCTCCACGGCCTGTTACAGGGATACCTTTACTTTACTTTTACTTTTTAGTGTTCAAACCATCACTTTCCATAGAAACCTTAAATGGGTGTTTCCCTCTATCTTTTCCACCTTATATTCCACATGAACTAACATGGTTTTGAAAGCAGAAAGACCTGTACAGCTTGCAGATTAGGATCCCATTTTACTTACACAAAGCAACATATCTACTTTTTTGTGATAAACAATCAATTACGACAAACAAGGGACATTGACTCAAATATACAGTTATTCACAGATGACTGCATAATATACAGGAAAATACTGGATAGCTGTGACATTGGCAAGCTGCAAACGCATCTAAATAAATTAGGGGAATGGGCGGTAGTAAATGAAATGAAGAAAAATCCTAATAAGAGTAAAGCGATAAGTTTCACGAGAGCTAGGGTGAAGGATCGTCTAACGTATCATTTTGGGGGCCAACTAATTCTGGAGGTAAATACCTTTAAGTATCTAGGAATAATCATATGGAGTGATCTAAGATGGGCAGATCATGTAAACTATGCACTAAGAAAAGCATGGAAGGGTCTTCATTTAATAATGCGTATACTGAACCAGGGCAATAATAACAAGAAACGTCTAGCCTATATGTCATTACTGAGACTGATACTTGAATATGGTTCGATATTTTGGGACCCATACAGAGAATGGCAGGTTAGCGCTTTAAATTGGGTACAAAGAAGAGCGGCTAAATTTGCAAATCCTACAGATGGATCTGATTGGGAAACTCTTGACACAGCATAGATTGATGGCCCATCTGTGTGCCCTTTACAAGGCATACACCAGGAGCCTGGTTTGGAAAGCGATAAGGGATAGCTCGCTTAATCCATGCTACCTGAGCAGGGACGATCATATTTGGAAAGTCAGAAGCAGGAAACAAAGAACAGATGTTGGCAAATAGTCCTTTGTAAATAAGACCATAAAGGATTGGAAGAGTTTACCTGCAGGCATACTAGCATCTTTCCCCTGTAAACTAAACACTTTTAGAAAGAGGGTTAGGAAAGCTGTTACAAGTACAGAGGCCTTAGGCGGAGTTAAATGAATCAAGTGAAGTAATGTGAAGTGTCCTTGTTCGAGTGCAGTGAAACGAACACAAGCACATTCCCTTTTATAACTTTATATGTTTGGATTTGCACTGTGTGTACCTTGTTTACCGTATTGTATTGTTCCCTTATGTTATAGACTTTCCTTGTCTGTATCAGTGTAAGTTCTACTGCCACTGGGTGAACACCCAATGGCAGTAAAATAATAATAATAATAATAAAAACAAATTCACCTAATGAAAAATAGGCCTGCTCACGTGTTTTTCACAAGTGAATTACACCAACATTTTGGAACATTTAGATACACTGAACTTGACTTTTCTTACAACTACATGTAGATAAAATGAAGGTAACGAATTATAATTCTTGTTCAAGTTATAATTCATGTTTATGTATATTGTGTTTCAGATTCTGATCAGACACAACATTTAGCACATTTTGCTATGGGGTAGAAGTCTGTACCTCAAGCCACATTGTACATGGTCAGAAATGAGTTAAAAAGAAAGAAGTTGGGTAGGCTCGAACATGGTCAGTCATCATATTTTTGTTACTCCCACATTCCATCACTCATTATATACTTAAAAAATGTAAACAAAATATCTGCATAACTTACTCATGTTTTATACTTATTCCTCCACCTGTTCCTGTTACACAGCCAAGATTATAGAAAAGCCGACATAACTCAGGAATCAAATTCCTTGGATGTTCCTGAAAAGAGACTTACTTTCCTAAATATGAAGAGTCTGAGGACCTTTGTGAAATTTCATAACATGTTAGTCTTTTATGGTAAGGGGCTTTCAGCAGCCTACTCAACCTCAAGGATGTAAAACCACTCCTAAAGATGCAAACATATCACTTATTTTGTATCAGTATGAACTCAATCTCTTACCAAACGAGAAGAATATACATTACATAAACTAAAACTATAAACTCCGTGATTTTAGTCCACAAGCAAACTATACCGACCAAGCGACCGCCGCTTGTCAGCGAAGTTTAGTGGCAACTTTTGTGGATATAGGGTGTTGCGTGGTCTGCACAACGAATCCCCACGGCCGTTAATTTCGGTTTCTAGACCGGAGCCGCTATTTCCTTGAAATAGCTCCTCAATTATCATCACGAGGCTCAGTGAACTCCGTTCCAGACCCACTACTTCTCCAAAAAAAAAAAAAATCTGGTAGCGCTGGGAATCGAACCCGGACCTCTGGATCTGCAGCCACGAACACTGACCACATTACATACTTTCCAAAATACTGAATGTGTCTGGACCTACATGATGGGGAAAACACGGGAGAAAGAATGCATAAATATCAAAATTTGTCTTCATCATAAATATTATGCTGATTTGAATAAAGGGCGGTGTGGGTGGGACAAGTAACATGCGTGGATGAGAAGCACATATAAAATGATTACTGTCATATGGGACGTGATACCATGTAGTTTGGTAACTCTTCTGCTTGAAAATGGAGTCAGTATATTTCTCCCGAATGTTGATACCTGACAACAAAACTACACGACATTCTATCCCATCTTCATAGTGCCGCCGTGAGAACCTCTAATTCCAACATAGATTTAACAAAACTTGAAAAAGAATATGGAAAACCTAGTCGTAAACTGGCAAGACAATATTAAACAGGAAATAAATATGAGCTGGATTCATATAAATGAAGTCACTTTAATGAACTGCCGTTCCAATTGCTGTAGAGTCACTTGTGATCTATGAAAGTTTTATAGGTTAGGTTTCATAACTACCTTATGTATTAACCAAAAATACACATACTTTAAGAAATAACATACACATTCCACACTTTAAAATTTATTTACCTCTGATTGTACTACTGCAGTCATAATATACTGAAAACAATAAATTCACTCTGAATAAATTACGTTCACTCTACATACACTCTTGTACTCTTGTATAATCCTAACCACTGGGCCTGTCACGTGGATGAGTCAAAGAATGACAGACGCACACGGTCGCACAAACCCGGCTTAAGCGGTATAAAGACCATAAAGACATAAATAATATTGCGCACACAGGCTTCATTTCCACCGATCTCCACACCACTATGCACAACCTCTGCTTGCAAAGTTGTACAAGTTCGTTCCTCCCAGAGAAATTGTTCACGGCTTACAGTACATATAGTAACAGTACAGATGACAATGTTCGGACAACGTTATCAACCGACACATATAGGGGCGGATTTTTGAATTTTTACGACGTCGTAAAACAGCATTAAATATCTTCTTATTCTTCTGTTGTCCACTACCTCTCATCAATTTAGGTCTATAATAATATCCTATGTTCGGGAGTTTAGCGTTGTCAGTTCTCAATGAATTATTCCATATCCTACGTTAATTCTTGACTACCTTTGGATCCACAGATTGTATGTATATACGAGTACAGTATGTATGTACGTACGTATCTATGCATGTGTGTGTATGTATGTATGTACATATCTATGCATGTCTGTATGTGTGTAATAGATTGTCTCTCCATTGTTTGTATCTTCCGATATCTTCCACGATGCTGTCATTCCCAAGGCGAATATTCCTTTTAATGTTGTTCGAAATATGGCTTCTTCTTGAAAACTTATTCAGTAGTCTAAGAATTGCATTTCTTGAACATCTACTTTTTCATTGTTTTATATTTTCTCTTCTTTTTTTTTTTATAGTCCATAGTTCGGATCCAAAGAATTATGTGAGTTTAGCTGTGATTTTATGAAACCTAGGTTTTATATTTATAGAAATTATTATTTTTAGAGGATTGATTATTTCGTTAATCTGTGCCACTTTCTTTTTTACAGTGTGTTTTTCTGCACATTCCTAGCTACGCGTGAAATCTACGAAGATAAAATAAATACATGAGTAAATAAACAGTGCACATACTATGATGTGATGGCCAATGATAATCCTACCGAAGGGGAAGGGGGATGAAACGGAAGGAAGGGCGAAGATGCCCCATGTGATCTACATTTCATGCCCAGGTACAAATTGTCATGTTACAAGTGTCACATTGCTGAGGATAAGTGGGTTTGTTTCATACATTGTTATCAACAGTTAGTTTGCAGTAATTTGTACTGAAGTTATCAGTATTGTGTATGATAAGGATCTTCTGTGTAAGCTGTAATTCCGAAGATAATCTTATTCTATCAGTACAATTATTAATGGTAAGATTAGTAGACTCGAATAAGATCTGAACTCTCCGTTGGCGGCTTGAGGTATGTTGCTGTTTTGATTAATAATATTAAGATTTATATAGACTTTTTAATGTTTCAGAAATAAATATAACACCTTTGTCAAAATCTCGTCAGAGCCACGATACTTGTTACACTCGTATTTCTCAAGCTTCCAACAGTCGCGTGTTTCATTAGGTTAGCAACACGCGAAGGCATCGCCCAACCTCCTATCCAATTGGGATTTCCCTTAGGGATGAAGTGGCCCTAATGTGAAACTCACTATATACATCCATCTAAAACCATCGGGTGGGCATCGGGAGGTAAATCGGGAATCTCCCTCCATATTAAAAACAAATATATAAAATTAAATGAGGAAATATACTAAATATTCACATTATTATACGAATACAACGCTGTCTATATTTCAATATAGAGAGACGCAGCCTCAGGTATCCGCAAAAATATTAGTAATTGGCTTAAACGTATGTCTGTAAGCAAGTTTTCTGGTGCCCAGATCCTGGAAACGCCCCTGTTTATAATGCGGAGTTGTAGAATGCATGGAGCTTGACCTCCACACTCTTTCGTAACTTATAGTTAACCATTAGCTTCGTCGTGTCTGTCTGTATGCATCTGTATGGCGCGTGCTACATGAACCAAAGATTATTGGAAGCTCTTTTGCAAATAGGAATCCTTACAAACACCGGAATACATCTACAATCTGCAACACACATGAATCAGGCTGTTGAGAACTGATATACAGAGAAGCGATGAATATGAAATGGCTGATGTTGCACTTCTTAGTGTTCTCGAATATGTTAATTAAAACCCTCCTTCTAAAGCCATAACCCCACTTCAGATACTCATGCATCTATCTTCATATTTATCTCTCTGTTTATGCAGAATGTCGATTAAGCCTGGAGACACAGAGACGTGAAATAACACGTATAATAGCGAGTAACTGGCTGAATAAACAGTTTCCCAACATTTGGTGCTGGGTTCATTTTCTGGGGTTGCGTTAAATCTCATAAATACGAAGTGGAAATTCCGAAGAGAGAATACGTTTCTGAACACGGACGTGAAAATCGTGCTACATTGGACGATAATGTTGTTATGTCGAAACGCGTTCATTAACTCAAGACACCGCACAAAAAATTGTTTTTGTAAAAGGAGGATATGAATAATTATAATCCATTTTCCTATGTTTCCAGACTTAAAAGGCAGTTGTACTTAATTTAAGGAGGCTGTCAGTCGCTCAGACTCTTTAGCGCCGAATGGTAAGATGAACAGCGAATGATGAACAGGAACTAATGTAGAAAGAAATAGCCGTGCTTAATATGAAGTACTACTATCCAAGCATATGACTAGAGGGTATGTGCAAAACCACGAGAAAATTCAGGCAGGATCGTTGGTGCTCCGGCCAATATTTGAGCAGGAACACGTGGTAGTGTAGTGGTTGAGGGGTTATGCTACAAGCCAGAAGGTCACGGGTTCAAGTCACGATGAGGTCATTGGATTCTTTTCAACTGACCTAATCCTTCCAGCCACACTATGGCCCTCGGGTCGACTCAGCCTCTAACAGAAATGAGTACCAGGAATTAATTAAATAATTTTCCTGGCGAGTAAAGCGCGGCCGGCGCGTAAGGCTGACAACCTTACCGCCAACTTTGAGCCGATTGTCTAGATAATGTGGGACCCTCAACGTCTCACAACCCTATGGGCCTTCACGGCGTATTACAGGGATAGCTTTACTTTTTTACTTTTTACCTCAGAAACGTCATAATTTGAAGAAACTGACTTTATGATTAAAATATAGATTCGTAAGTTCAATAATAACATGATGGATTGCTTTGACATATGATACACCGAAGCCCTATACTTGTACATTGAACCTTCATGATATTTTTTATAAAATTATAAAATTTATAAAATTACGTGTATTTAATTCCTTAAAGCACACTGACAGGTTATGTATTACCTCATATAATATCTGAAACTGAGCTTTTTCTCCACACAGTCTATTTATGGATTAGATGAGAATATCAGAACAACAGATTTCCCCAAACAGCATTCACCGACTGGTTTTGTAGTGGTGACACAGTGTTTTCTAAGAGTTGCGAACTGAACCTTCAAATGAGTTATTACTTGCATGAACGTCGTCCTTCAAAAAGTTAGATGTATGTATAGTAATGAAATAATTTCATAAATATGGAAGCAGTTTCATTAATAGATGAAAATGTGTCCAATAACTGATCTTATTTCATTTTGGCAGAATATCCACCAAACATTACTAGAATAATAAAATAAAAGAAAATTAGATGGGCGGAACATCTCATAATATAACACTCATGGGAACGATGAGATACGAATACAAATTTTAGTTCGAAATCCTGAAGAGAAGAAACTACGTGGAAGACACGTGAGTACATGAGAATATATATTAAAATGTTTATTAAATAAATTCCATAAGGACATAAACTGTATTAATCTATGTAGAATCTAATTCTATTGCTCAATACTCTTAGAGTACACGGCAAGACATTTGACATTCAAATAATAGAATACCATTTAAGAGAATGCATGACAATGTACGAAGTGTTTCTATCGTGTAGTATACACAACTTTACGATGTGCATATGCATGTGCACTTCATGTTTGTATTTAAATTAAACAAGAAGTTAATTTTCACAACAACTTTCGATTCAGCTCTAAATTCCACATATTATTAGCCTACGTTCCTTATTTTTTAAAAATAAAAGTAGGCTTATGGTATCACCTTACTGTCTGTGTGTCTGTATATATATATATATATATATTTATTAACTTTTGAATGCCTGAACCAATCTTTATGAAGTTTTGTATGTACATCATAGAATCTCA